AAGAATAATAATTCTTCCAAGGGAAAGTCCTAAAGGCAAGCAAACAATAACAAGTTTGCTTGTTGGGAATGCGGTAAGGTTGGACACCGCAAGAAAGACTGTTTTTCATTTAAGAAAAGAATGGAGAAAGCCAAGGAGGGCCGTGCTAATGAAAGCAAGGACCCACCCACCAAAGGTAATCCAAATTCATGAGGTTAAATTTAATTTCGGTTTGGATTTAAATGCAACGGATCCTAACATTTTTATGGTGCAGGATGATGACTCTTGGTGGATTGATTCGGGGGCTTCTAGGCATGTATGCAAGATGAGGCATTGGTTCAAAACCTTTCACAAGGTTGGTGATGGAGAAGATCTCTTTATGGGGAACAATTCAACCATCAAGGTCCTTGGTAGAGGACAAGTAGAGCTAATGTTTAGTTCGGGGAATGCAATCATTCTTAGGGATGTTTTGTATGCTCTGGATATTAGTAGGAATCTTGTATCGGGGCCTTCCCTGAATAGTCTTGGCTATAAACTAGTGTTTGAAGCTAATAGGTGTATTATTACTAGAGGAACAAATTTCATAGGTCGTTGTTATTTAATTAATGGTTTGTTTAAACTCTCTTTGAGAGATAAGTATGTATTTGATGATGTTTGTTTGAATGTTGATGCAAGTGATAATCATGTTGATTTGAATTTATTTGACTTCTAGATTAGGACATGTTAATTATAATAAAATGCTTTTTATGTCCAAACAAGAATTAATTCCTTCTTGTGATATTTCTCCTAATAAGTGTTCTACTTGCTTGTTGAACAAGATCACTAGAACTCCTTTTAAGAGAGTTGAGATAAGTTTTAATCTTTTGGAACTAATCCATAGTGACTTGTGTGATTTTCATAGTACTCCTTCTTTGGGGAAAAAAAGATACATGGTTACTTTTATAGATGATTATTCTAGGTTTTGTTACGTGTATCTTTTGCATTCCAAAGATGAAGCTTTAACCAAGTTTGATGTTTATAAAAGAGAGGTAGAACTGCAAGTAGAATCATTTATTAAGAGAATTAGAACTGATAAGGGAGGGGAATATTATGATCCTGCTTATTTCCAATATTTGGGTATAATTCATGAGACAACAGCGGGTTATGCACCACAATCAAATGGTGTAGCTGAAAGGAAAAACCGAACTCTTGAAGAAATGGTTAATTCCATGTTATCTTACTCTGGTTTGCGTGAAGGGTTCTGGGGTGAAGCAATGTTGACAGCATGTAACATTCTTAACCGGGTTCCCACTAAGGGAAAAGAATCTACTCCTTATGAACTTTGGTACAAAAGAAAACCAAACTTGAAGTATCTCAACGTTTGGGGTTGTAGAGCAATCGTAAGAGTGCCCAACAACAAGAAAAGAAAGCTTGGTGAAAGGGGCTTGGATTGCATTTTTATAGGTTATGTTGAGCATAGAAAAACCTATAGGTTCTATGTAATAGAACAAAATGACTATATATCAATTCATTCGGTTATTGAGTCAATAGATGCAATTTTTGCTGAAAATCGATTTTCATCAATGAGTAGACCAAAAGATCTACAAATTAGTGCCAATGATAGGGAGATAGTAGAGTTGAATGATCAACTTGAAACTCATGAAAATACATTCGATAATGAGAATGTTGAAACTCCTCAAGTGAGGAGAAGTACTAGGGAAAGGAAAATTAGGAATCCTCTAGATGACTTCATAATTTATTTGGTTGAAGGATCTAGGGATGTCCTTAGTTCTACTACTCCATATTGTTTCAATGTGGATAGTGACCCAAAGACTTATAGCGAGGCAATATCTAGTCAAGACAGTGCATTTTGGAAAGAAGCTATAAATGATGAGATGGATTCTATCATGGGAAATAATACTTGGGTCATAGAGGTTTTACCTCCCGGTTGACCTCTTAGTTGCAAGTGGATTTTCACTAAGAAAAGGAGACCGGATGGCTCTATAATGAAATTTAAAGCCATATTGGTTATCCAAGGCTTTAGGCAAAAGCATGGTGTTGATTATTTCGATACCTATGCACCGGTTGCAAGAATTACCTCCATAAGGTTATTGATTGCAATGGCTTCGGTATATAATCTAGTGATTTATCATATGGATGTCAAAACGACATTCCTTTATGGAGATCTAGAGGAAGAAGTGTACATGAAACAACCCGAAGGGTTTGTTTTGGAAGGACAGGAAGATAAGGTGTGTAAATTGGTTAAGTCATTGTATGGACTTAAGCAAGCACCAAAGCAGTGGCATCGAAAATTTGATGACACGATTTTGTCCTTTGGATTCAAAGTGAATCAAGCTGATAAGTGTATTTATAGAAAATTTGATGACAAAGGTCATTGTGTCATCATTTGTCTATATGTTGATGATATGCTTATCTTTGGTACAAGTCTACAACAAGTAGAATTGACCAAGAAATTCTTATCCTCATCTTTTCAGATGAAGGATTTGGGGGAGGCGGATGTCATTTTGGGCATCAAGATTGTTAGGGACAATGGAAGACTTATCTTAAGTCAATCTCATTATATTGAGAAGATGATCAAACAGTTTAATATCTTTGATAAGTGTCCCGTGAACACCCCCATGGAGCTTAATGTTAAATTGGTTAAGAATTCGGGGAAAACGGTTTCTCAATTGGAATATTCAAGGATAATTGGATCCTTGATGTATGCCATGACTAGTACAAGACCGAATATTGCATTGGCTGTGGGAAAACTAATAGATTTACTAGTAACCCGGGTGCACAACATTGGTTTGCAGTTCGGAGGGTCTTGAGATACCTTGAGGGTACGTTAGACTATGGTCTAACTTATAGTGGATTTCCTTTAGTTTTAGAAGGATATTCTGAGGCAAGTTGGATCACTTACAAAGAGGATGACTCTTATGTAAGTGGTTGGGTATTCATGTTTGGGGGAGGTGCCATTTCATGGTCTTCCAAGAAACAAACTTGCATTGCGGATTCCACTATGGCAGCGGAGTTTATAGCTCTTGCTTCAGCTAGTAAGGAAGCTGAGTGGTTGAGGAATCTCATGATAGAGTTGCCTTTATTGCCAAAGCCAATGCCACCGGTGGCAATTCATTGTGATTCCAATTCGGCGTTGATAAAGGCTTATAGTCAAGTGTACAATGGTAAGTCTCGGCATATTTCACTTAGGCATAGCCTAGTGAAAGAGCTTATCAATGATGGGGTCATAAGTCTTGACTATGTTCCAACAAAGTTAAATTTGGCGGATTGCTTTACAAAGGCTATGCCAAAGCATTCCATCATATTTGCCATGAATGGAATGGGTTTATGTCCAAAAACACGAACTTGTGAAACCCAATCTAACGCTTGAAGAAACATCAAGTCTTAGATTCAATGTGGTTGAATTGCATTTTTGTTGTTTGATAGCAATGTATGATTACCCATATTGCTATGTTACTTGTGATGTGTTAGGTAGCGTCTATTTAAAGTTCTCAAAGATTTAGAGTTGAGAAGCTCTAAATGAAAGTGTCTTGTCATAAGGGCACATTTACGTATATGAGAACCTACCTGTATAAGCTCGAAGTTTAGCCGCTTTAAGAAGTCTAGATGGACATATAGACTTTGATAAACTTATAAAAGATACGGACAAATGGTTGTATAAAGGTGTCAAGTGATGATTTATTCGATTTGTCTTGTGTGTACTTCACCTTCGAATGGTTGGATATATCCGTGTGATTCAATCCATATGGAAATCATGGGATATGATCATCGTCAAGTGTGTTGTACTAGGTGTTAATTCAATCCGAAGGGACATTAACATTGATGCATGAGATGTGGCTAAATTGATAGAACTGGAGAATGTTTAAAGGACACTCTAAATGGGGGAGGATTGTTGATAATTTAGAGTATCAGAGTGGAGCGCCCGCTCTACTAATTTATCGCGCTCGCGCTAGCTAGGCGCGACCCGTGATGTAACCGCGCAAAAACCGCGTTGAGTTTCTGGAAATCTGGCAAAACTTTGGAGGAGCGCCCACTCCTCCTAGTGGCGCGCCCTGCGTCTAAGTCGCGACAAAATCACGCCAGGTTTCTGGAAAATCAGAAGTTTGGGAAGATCAGGGGTGGCGCGCCCGCGCCCCTTGGTGGAGCGCCCGCGCCAGAGGGTGGCGCGCCCGCGCCTCATGGTGGCGCGTCCGCGCTGCTGTGATGGTGTGCCCGCACTTCTTTCTGTTTTAGCGGTTCTTGCGTCGATTGAGTCTATGATTATAAGACTTATTTTTCGAACAGAAGATATACAGAACATTATTCTCTCTAACTCACCCCAAGAATTCTCTATAATTTCTCTCAAACTTCTTGCAAACTTTTGTGAGAAATACTCTTGATTTTTAGCCTTCTTTGTGAATTTATTCATCTTTATTTCGATTCTTTGTGCTAAGAACGAAAGGGTTGTCAATTGTATCTCAAAGAGAATTTCCGGAATAAGCCAAGCACCGTGTGGGGGAAATTAATCTCTTTAGGAAAGTATTCATACGCCTTTGACAGTGTATCAAGGTCGTAGTCTCAAGGGACATCGGAATTCTCATGTTCATGCATTGTTTATACGGCTTGGAGTTAAGGCAAGTTAGATTATCTTCGCATTATTGTTTACTTATAAATTTTCTGTAATTTCTTAGTTATTAATACTTGATTGAAATACATTGGTTTGTATTTGATATTTACAATTACTTTGTAATAATTTATTTTAGGTTTTGTTCCCACACGAATTTCAGTGTTTTCCAGTTTGAATTCACTGAAAACCTAACACGTATAGGATATGGGTATTGAAAATTCCATGTACGGATCTGGATATCACTAGACTCTGCCCATTTTCATCCCTCCTCGCACTTGTACTTAAACATTATACTCAGTGATAAAATTTAATCAAGATTAGTAATCAAAACAACAATTCTAATTTATTTTTATCTTTTTAGGAAAGCTGTAAACTAATTAGTTGTGATGTTTCAAAAAAAAAAAAAAAAAAAAAAAAAAAAAAAAAAAACCTAATTAGTTGTGCTAATTTATTTTAAAACCGCTTTTAACGGTTCAAGTGTTGATTTATACACGTCTTTGCTTTCGCATTGGTCAGACCATAAAAAAATAAAAAACCAATAACATATGAAATTAGATTCAATCATCACCGTGTCAAATAAGACTCATTATTCATCATCATCAACTTCTTTTATCTGTTCCCAATTAAAATTTCAAGAAATTAGGATCAGATTACATTAATTGATAGGAATTAAGGTGAGTATATATCATCTAAATTATAAAATGAGCGTGATTCAAATCCTTTTTCGGGTCGATGAAATCTGCAAAAAATATGAAAAATACGACGTTGACAAACAAAGGGAGCGCAATGCTACTGGTGATGATGCCTTCGCACGTCTCTACGACACCATCGAGTCTGATATCGAGAAAGTCATTCATGTATGTGAAATTAAATTTTTTTTTTTTGCATGGTTTTCATTTACATTTGGAAGTTTGTAACACAATTCAATATATGTAGACGACCTTTAATTTGTTGATATGCAACAAAATAAATTATGTTAATATAATGTGGAGAACAGAAATCGGAGATTGTGGCAAGGGAGACGAATAGGGCAAAGGCGGTGGCGATGAACGCCGAGATAAGACGGACCAAGGCCAGGCTATTGGAAGATGTTGCCAAGCTACAAAAATTGGCTTACAAGAAGGTCAATTTTACTTTCCTTTTTATAATTTTGTGATCAATATTACTTGTATACTTTAGCTTCATAATTAATAAAATGTTGCCTTAGTTTCCGATCTTTGCTTTGAATTTTGTGTTTACATATGGTGTATATGTTTATCATTGCATGTTTAAACTATTAAGGGATACCATAATAAAATTTGTTCCTATTTTACTTGTAGACATATTTTGATAAGTGGTATATATAAATTGATCCTATACTTCAACCATCAGCTTAAACTTTTAATTTGAGTTGATACTCTAATATGTTTAACCTTATTTTTTGTATCATTTTTTAACCTTCAATCTATCTAGACTTCTAGCTAGGGTATCGTTGTTCAATTGATGATTTGATTAGGACCTAACTAAATAAGCCACTTGTATTTGAGAACACCTATCTATTGAGTGTGATTTTAGCTCATTTAATCAATGTTACTTATTTAAATACTGCAAATGATATCAAATGAGTTATTGAGCATAAGAAAATACCATGAATACACCGAATCAACTCTAGGTATACACGAGTACAAATAAAATGGATGTTCTCCTAATGTTTTCTCAAGTGATCCAGCTCTTTAAGTTAAAAGGTGAAGATTTTTATTGCAGCTCAATGTAGCTTTGCAACAATATAAATACGATTTCCATTTGATGTGACTTTAGGCTTGTGATGATCAAGTGATCACTTTATTTTTATAATCAATGAAGAGTAAAAGTTTAACTTTTATTTTAACATTTGATTCAATCGATCATTTCATTATTATTCAATATGGTAATGTTACTCATGAAAAATTTTGTGGTTATAGGTAAAAGGACTCTCAAAGGATGATATGGTTGCTCGAGGTGACTTGGCTATTGCGTTAGGAGAAAGAATTCAAGGAATTCCCGATGGAGGAAACAATGCCAAAAATGATGGATGGGCGAGTTCAAGCAATCCTAATAACATCAAGTTTGATATGCAAGGAGGTAAGTTCATAGTCTTTATACCAAGCGATAAGTATGACCACTTGTAAATATACAAATCAAATGTGGCTTATTAAAATGAAACGGAAGGAGTATGAATTAGTCTGCATTATATGGAGATGATATAAAGGGCAAATATAACTCTACGATTAATTAATGATAGTTTGGGTTTTGGGTTACATCAATGCAAATTTCAGATACACACTTAAACGATGGGTTTTTCCAAGAAACGGGGCAATTGAGTCAATTTAGGCAAGAGTACGAAATGAGGAAGTTGAAACAGGCAAGTACATATCCATAAACATGCTAAACATTTAATCATGGCATTGAGGTTTGTGTATAGTAACTTGAACAATTTTGGTATCAATATAATAGGATGAAGGTCTAGATATCATATCTGAAGGACTCGAGACTCTGAAGAATTTGGCGCATGATATGAATGAGGTTAGTACGTTGTTTTCTAATACATTATGCTGCCTTATACAGACGACCCAAAAAAAAAAAAAAGGTAATTTTAATGGACGTATGTAGCAAGTACTCCGTATTAAGTTAGTATGGTGTTAATTTGTTTAATCAATCACATTTATTTTTTAAAATTATACTTCGTACCAAGTATTAATTAAATTTTGGAGTACAAGAATGAACTCGACTTTATCTACTTATGTTTATTTATTTTAACCAATTACGATTGTGTGAAACATTATTAGCCTTTGTCTATTTTTATGTTGCATGCATTCTTCAACAAGATCTTGGTCATAAAAAAGATTTATTGGCTAATTATTAAGTTGCTTTAATTATTTGTAACAAAAATCTTGTGTTTAAGTTCACAATATAGAACTTGTTTTGAAAATCTTGTTGATTAAATTGAGATACATTATTCATTACATTGAACAAAAAATATAAATAAAACTGTTTGGTTTTCTATGGTGTACTCAGTACTAACTAACCCTTTGTTTTGTTTTCCTTCTCATTCATAGGAACTAGATAGACAAGTTCCCTTGGTTGATGAAATCGATACAAAGGTTAGATTGCTTCTTCTCATTTACGACTGTAACTTCTTTTTAACTTCTCAATTTACGACTGTAAATTCATACATGTAATTATATTAGAGAGTGTTCTATTCACCTGATTTTCACTGATCTGAACTTATCTAAACTTATCTGAACTTACTTGAACTTATCTGAATTTATTAGACCTTATTAAAACTTAATTTAGTTGTAATTTGTACTTGGGTAACCCTTATTAGAACTTATTAAACCTGAACTGAACTTATCTGAAATTATTACACCTGAAATAAGTGAATATATAAGGTGAACTTATCATTTATTAACATTTTATACACTAGTGGAAAAAAGTCTATTCGTAATGGCAGAGAGCGTTACATATACGGGCGTTTCGAATAAAAATACTATTTGTAATGGGCACTTGCTCGTTACAAATAAGTAGTTATTTGTAACAAGCGTTACAACTGCTCGTTACAAATAACCCATTTCAAACAACGCACTATCAGTAGACTATATATTAAGGGTTTAAAGCATGAGATCAAATTAATCTTAGCATGTAAGTAGATCGACTAATAGCTGTTTTATCTCCTGTGTTTTATGCTAATTAAGGTTGACAAGGCCAACACTGATTTAAAGAACAACAATGTCAGGCTCAAACAAACACTTCACCAGGTACAAATTACTTTTTAACAAGCTGCATGCTCATTTGAAATTTTTTAGATATATCGGGGTGTATCTATTTATTTGTTTGGTCCATTTATCAACTTAAAAAGTGATAAATAATATGACGTTTCTGTATGTATGATCAGATAAGATCGAGTCGAAACTTTTGCATTGATATCATCTTGCTGTGTGTGATTTTGGGCATTGCAGCTTATCTATACAAGTAAGATGTTACTTATCCTATCTATCTATTTGATTACAAAATTATGAAAAAATTATATATTAGTACTCTCTCTGTCTCAAAATATAGTTTCTGGAAGTAAAAAGTACTAATAGACAAAAGTTAGAGAGAGAAAGTGAAAAAAGTATTTCCTCCGTTTTTTTATAGGCTAGAGATGAGACTGCGCGGAGTTTTAGGTGTATAATAAAATAAGATGTTAGTGAGGCAGATAAGGTTATTATTTTATTGAAAAGTAAAGTGGTATGAGAGGGAGTGGGGGATCATTGGAGGAGTGCGAAATGGTAAAGTAAGAAAGTGTGGGGACATTAAAGGGTAAAGATATATTATTAAATTGTCAGAGATTTCCAAAAATGGAACTCTAGCTTATAAAAAAACAGACAAAAATAGTAACTCTAGCTTATAAAAAAAACGGTCCTGTCAAAAAAATAAATAAATAAATAAAACGGAAGGAATACAAGGTATGTACAAAATTCAATGGTACTGTAGGAAGTACAATGAAAAAAAGTAAAAAATAAAATAAAAATGAGTGTATAATGGTCTTTACATACTATCAAAAATAAAAACAGGAACTATATTCTGGGTCTCCAAAATAGGAAAACATGAACTATATTATGGGACGGATGTAGTACTTAATTACAACAGCACTTCTTGTGTGCGGCTAAACATATCATGTGACCGCTTGTTAAAAAAAAATAACCCCTATAACACTGATTGAGTAACCTTTGTAATATTGAGCGAGTAACCCTTATTGAACTGACCGAGTAACCCTTTTAACACTGACGAAGTAACCCCTATAACCCTGACCAAATAACCCCCGTTACACTAACAAAGTAATCTCCTGATAACTGGTCACATGGTGTGGCCAACCATGTAGAAGAATTTGTGTAATTCCAAAGCTCAAGAGATACCGTATTTAACTATTTGTTAAAACTAATTTTATATTCTAGGTGAACCTCACTTCAATATCTCTTCTACTTTTTGCTTACACGTACTTGCATATACTTATATATGATATCTTTTGTTTTTGGTTAGAACTTCGTATATGATATCGACTCTAATCTTTTGAGTCGAGAATTTAGAAATAAAACTAACTATATGATATTTCATTTTTGTAGTGTTTTGCAGTGAAACGATTTCAGAGCTTTCATGGACTCTGGCAATGGTCTATATGTTACCAAATTCATTGGTTTTAACTATGCATTTCCACATTGTTATGTTATCTCGTTCACATATTATTATTATTATTATTATTATTATTATTATTATTATTATTATTATTATTATTATTATTTATTTTTTTATTTTTTTTTATTTATTTATTTTTTTTTTCCAAAAGTAAGATACACGGATCACGTTCACATATGGAATACTGAGTACTGTAACTTTTCTTAACGAGTACGGAGTATCACTTATTATGACATACTTAAGTACTACGTATATTTTGTCAAAAAAAAAAGCACTACGTATATGGGATATTGTCTTTTTTCTCTATGCTCATTTCATAATTATATACTTATTAGCCATATATGATATATATACACAATGAATGCATATGTGGACTTATGATTTGAAAAAAAAAAAAAAAAAAAGAGTCCAACTAACTAAATATTGACATCTATCATTTAATTTACTAAAATTGGTTACCAGCTGGTCATCACCTAATTATTAAAGGAATAAACAAATTTTCTTAACGAGTATTATGTTGGAATAAACAAAATGGCGTTTTAATTATTGTGGAGCAACTGAAGCACTGAAAGTTCGTAATAACTTTGACAATTTTTTTCTTTCTTTTTTTGTTGATCTAATTATAAACAATACAATGTATAGCTTAGTGGGAGGATGGATAGTATCCAATCCAAAACAGCAAGAGTTCAAAGGTTATTATTAGGCAATGCTTTTATCTTGGAAAAATTCATGGGAATAATCTCACTTTTAAGTCATTCGTTTTTAATAATTCCATCTTTGAGATATTTTTTAGTAATCCGATCTTTAGCCCCCATTCTTTTTTAATGGTCTCAACCGGTCATACATGGCGGCCTGTGATTGGTCAAAAAAAAAAAATTAACCAAAAAAAAAAAAACAGCCACCCTTCCCCTCCTGCTTCTCTCTCTCCTCTCTCTTCCTCCATGATCACTCCATCACAACCACCACCAGGGAAACGACTGAACTGAACGCCCCACCCACGTCCATTTCCGTCCCGGCAGCCACTCCCTTACCCTGCCTCAGCCCCGAAAACCACCCCTCCCCCTGCCCCACCGCCGAAACCGCCCTCCTTCCACAGCCACTTGACAAGAACAGACCCCCCTCCCCAGCCACACCCCAGAAATCGCCCCTAACTCGAACCCCCCACTCCGAAACCACCCTAAACCCTCACCCTAGAAATCCACCCCCCTCTCTTTCCCCCACTCAAAACCTTTCCCCCACCCCTCGAAACCGATGTTTTAGTGGTGAAGGACCACCAGATTCGGCAGTAGGGAAGGGAGAGAGAAAGAGAGGGTGCCCGAATTCTAGGGTGGGCCGGTTTTGGAAGTGGAGAAGGGAGGGGGTTTGATTTCCGTTACCCTCAAAGGTGAACAAGGGTTTCGGGGATGGGGGTTCAGGGGCAAGGTAGCTACGGGGAAGGGGAGGGGCAGCAAGGTGGCTGTGGGAAAGGGGGGCGGCGGGTCTTTCGGGGGGAAGGGGCGTGGTTGAGGGAGGAGGAAGAAAGAAGGGGGTGAGCTTTGGGTGGTGGTAATGGAGGAAGATGGTAGGAAGGAGGAGAGATCAGAAAGTTGGAGGAAGATGTAGAAGGGAGGTAGGAGGAAGATGGTAGGAGAAAGGAAGTTTTCTGATTTTTTTATTTTTTATTTTATTTTTTTTATTTTTAATTTTTGATCAATTAAGTAACGACACCTGTAAATTAAGCTTTTAAAAAAAAATTACCTTTTCAACCGGTTACTGGTCACCCGGAACCATTAAACAAGAATGGGGAGTAAAGGTCAGATTATTAAAAAATATCTCAAAGGTGGGATTATTAAAAACGAATGGCCCAAAGGTGAGATTAATCCTATAAATTTTCCTTTTATCTTTGAGAACTAATAAAACTTTATGTTGATTTTGGATTACATTTCTTGTAAATTGTTGATCTTGCTAGCTTTCATAGTTATAGAGTTATAGGTTGTTTCATTGAAATTCATTGTTTATTATATATACTTGGAAGTTTCGGAGTAATCTATCTATATATCTATTACGTTACATAAGTGAAATAAGATATATAGAAAAAGGATGAGTGAAAACTTGGTGTCCAAATTATAGACTAGCTAAAGCACCCCACCTTTAGCTTCTTTTATATGAATATTTTTTTTAAAAAAAAAATAAAAAAAAATCAATGATTTATGTACCTTGGCAAAAATAAAGAAGTTTAATTTTGAAATCAATAGTAAGCTTATAAAATTTCCTAGCCTCTATCATTCTTATTCAAAAACAAAATTAAAAAGAAAATAGTTTAGACAATCAATAACTATATATCAATTAACTTTAACTAACTATATACTAAAAGAGAGACCAGGGGTGGCACATGTCCTTGTTTTTTCCCTCCAAAATGTTTTTCCTTGTTTTTTCTAATTTTTCTTAAAAACTACATATTATAATCTAAAATATATATTTACATATTTCTTCTCGTCTATCAGTGTTCCTAATGTGTGCCCATGAGCACACATTAAGAAAACAAATTCCCAATAAATATTTTGATATTAAAGAATATTTACAAGTTTATAAAAGGTAATTTTGGAAAATAATAAAGTATTCATTATTTCCTATATTATATATAAGATTTGCCAAAAAAATTTCAAATATTTTTCTTAATACATTTAATCAACTTATGGTGATACAATTCAAAATTGATCTGAGTAGTTTACCTTTTTTTTTTTTTTTAATGATTTTTAATGAAAGATAGGAAAAAGAAAAACATATTGTTAAACCTCAACTCACAATTTTCATCAATCTCCTCAGAAACAGAAATCAATTAATGAACAATTTCATTCAACTTCACCAAAAATTGATTTGATTGAATCTAGTACAAGTGATATTAGTCTTCTTCAAATTCAATTGAAATAACTCAAAATCGCCAAATGAAAATTACTTTGAATGTGTAAGAAGAATAAAATATTTACAGCAATATATTAATGCTTTTTTTTTTCCAACACCATATTTAGTTCCTAAGTAATTCATACAAGTATTTATTTACTAGTATACTTGTATCATATACTATCATTCTTTTTTTCAATCTTTCATTACAAAAAAAAGAATAAAATACCAAGAACACTAATATACAGCACGGTGCTAAACTGCTGGGTGGAGGATGAAATTAAGTGGCATTATATTAGGCTACTTTTAATTTGTTTAAAAATCGTTACATTAGGATGTTGACTACAGTAAATAAATTGAGAAAATTATTTGGAAATTTTTTTGTAAATCTTATAATAAAGTAAATAATGAAGACTCTCTTATTTTCCAAATGGTTTATTAGAACTACCTTTTATAAACTTGTAAAATTTTCTTCAATATCAAATTATTTACAAGAACTATTCAAAAAAAAAAAAAAAAAATTTATAGGGAATCTATTTTCTTAATGTGTGTCCATTAGAAAAACCGTTCTTCTATATACATTATTATTTTATATCTCATACAGTTTTTATACATATTATGTATTTGTAAAATATGATGAACTTAATTATGGTAACATAACACGATATTATATTTTGATTCTTTCTTTGGTCATATACTTTATCATTTTATTCTAATTTGTAGATACTAAAATCATTTTGCTAACAGAAGTGTTATGTATGTAGGATATTAATTAGAATGTAAATTCGTACACTTAAAAAATTGGCGCAAAATTAAAAAAAAAAAAAGTAATAATGTTCAATGGTTTTTGTTATGGATGTTTCTTTTTACACGATTTTAAGTTACTTAATTTCATCTAATATGAATATGTTAGTAATTTTTTTTTTTAATTATTATTATTTTTGTTTGTTCCTCTCCTCCAAAAGCAAGGGCCTATTGCCGGAAACCTAGGGTCACGTCAGAGTTCCGGCGCTGCGACCGGTTTGCTGGCGAGTTTCCCCAAATTTTTATTTTATTTTCTGGTTTAATTTGTAGGCAGAGATCCCCTGAGGTTCCATCGATCATGAATCAAATTTCCATCCCGTCCCACGGTCGAGTTTCCTACTCTTCAAAGCCTCTTGCTATTCCACCGATGGTGAAGAGGAAGCGGAAAATTTGTCCTTTCCACCGACAGCAATCTCGTCCTTTTCCGTCACCTACAAAGGTTCGTGGGCTTGTTGTAACTAGTGGAAATTTTGTTAGTTTCCTTAGTTTAAAGATGGATCATGGGATTTTGTTTTTTTAGAGATGGATCATGGGATTTTGTTTTTATATAAAATCTTCTGCTTAGTAGGTCCTTTAGTTTTGTTGGTAGTGTTGTTATTTTGTTTATGGTTTTAAGTATTATGGATGCTTTTGAGGAATTTAGGGTTTTCTCATATTGAAGAGGATGATTTAACCTCTAATAAGTTAAAGCAAATAGTCGGGGAGTTGGAGAATCCGTTTGATATTCTGAAGTATGTTAGAAATTTAAAAGATGAGGGAAACCAATTTTACAAACACAGTAATATGGTTTCAGCAATTGCAAATTACTTTTTTGCACTCAAAATCTTATCTTTTGTTCTACTTTGTAATGATGAAGATAAATCAGTTTTCTCGAGCCTTGCTATGTCACTTAATCTGAACTTGGGGGCTTGTTATGTCAAAGAGAGAAACTTTGACAAGGTGGGTCAATTGTGTTCGGCAGTGTTGTGTTATGATACTTTAATGTGAAAGCTTACTTCAGAAGACCGGTGGTAGCTTTAGAGCTGAACAAACCCGACTTAGCTTTCATGGATCTTTCACAAGCAATTAAGATTGATCCTAACAACAAAGAGTTTCGACAAAAAATCAATGAGGTGGCTTCTAAATTGGGTTGGTCTCAGAATTTTATTGATGATGCACTTGCGGTTACAGCAGAGGATGAGAGGATTAGAGATTTCGTTCAGTTTGAGACGAATGAAGAAAAAAGAAAGTTAGGAACAAAAGGGAAAGGACGAGGAGGAGACGATCATGGAATTGCTATGTTCGTAAATGTGTTGTTGTAAAAGATGACACCAAAGTGGAAAAGAATGTTTGTGGCAAATTTTTGGATTTGG